CCCACATCAGCCCAATATAAACTAATATATACTCCTGTCCCTATAAGAACTAGACAAATTGACTTTACGAAGTTCAAAAACGTGTAGAAAAGTGAAAGGTGTTTGGTGAAAAGTGCCGTGTAGTTGAGATTTGATTCTTGGCCAGGGCAATGCTTTGGGATGTAAGGAAATCCAGTGACCTGCAGGAAAGGGCCGAAAATGTAGCCGAGATGAAGGGACCCGCGGGCAAAATTAGTCTCTTACATATGGACTCATACAAAATAGTGACAGGTGGGTATGAAGAGGGGTGTTTGAACGTGTGGGAGACGGGAACGGGCAGACAAACGAATTCCCTGAATTGTTGTTGCCATTGTCTTTCCATGGCTGCTCATGACAGTCGGATCGCTATGACCTCTGGCGATTGTGATTATGGAGATCCAGATGAGTTACGCGTCATGCACTTTCGTAATGCCCGTTCTCGTCATCTCTCATTTGAGGCCACTCCCTCCGAATCAAAATTCTGTGATCTGCCCTCACCCAGCACCACTGAATGAAGAACCAACCCGATGGCGAACGAGTTATCTGAGTTATTGTTGCCATTGTTTTAGTATGGTCTAGTTAATACGGAGTACTTTTTACAGAAGCAGTTTATACTCCCTCAGCCCCCCTAAAAATAAGCTTTTGGTACGAGTCACGATGTTTGGCTGAAATAATTTTCCAACTTAGTTTATTTGAAACTTCGTGTAGACTTAAGTTGTAGTTTCGTTTGTAAATAAACTGTGCTAGTAGAATGTCCAACAAAAAAATGACATGGTAGAAATGAGAAATGGGGTAAAGCATATGGGTAAGATGAGGATGAGGTATTTCTAATGACCGGTGCCCAACCAGGGCCACACAAAAAAAATTTATATGAATTATACTCTAATTTTTTAACATGTTTTCAAATCTTATTCGAGTTTCATTTTTTATTTTCAATTTAAATGTGCTCCATCATCTCCGATGGAGCCAAAATTTCACCATTTTTTGGCTTTGGAGTGTGATGGAATAAATCAAAATGGATCTCTAAACTGTCTGTGCTTCTTTAATTAATGAAGTAGCAGTTAGTCAAGCAATGCAACTTTCGACGTTGAGCCAGGGGTCTCTTTGGAAACAGCCTCTCTACTTTCAAGTAGGGGCAAAGTCTGCGTACACACACCTTCCCCAGACCCTACTCTTGTGGGATTTAACTGGGTTGTTGTTGTTGTTGTAATTTAAATGTGCTCCTCAAAGTTATTGGGGGCATACTAATTTTTTGATAGGGGGCATTTCTTTCTAAAACTGAAAACATGAATGTTTTTATATAAAAAAGATAAAATGAATCAAACTCACTAGGGGCATGTGCCCCCCATAGTTAGCACTCGGATTCGCCAATGTGCCCACCGGTGGTAGTCATAGGTGAAAGCTGGTGGTGATAGCGGTAGTGAATTTTTATGTAAGCTTATGAACAATAGTATAAGTATTTGTGAACATACACCACATCATTCTATAGCCAAGAAACACTTTGTGATTTGATATAATTTGTGTATATGTATAACAATTGTTATACAATGCAACTCGATGTTTCTTGTTCTTATCTTTCTACACATTACACTCTAGTATCTTGCAGCGACACATATTCAGATCGGGCTTGAGGTTATTTTTTCACCCAAATATCTGGGTGGGCTAGACCCGCAACTTTCGGACGAAACATCATGCCCATATCGGATCATGTAGGGGATCCAAACGGGCCGCATAGTGACCTAGTCCAGAACTTTTTACTTCCTAATATATACAAATGGTTTTAAAGATCAGCCCGGTTCCATGACCACTAGATTCCAATGGCCACGGAAACCACTGCCCCCCTACGAAGCTCCGTTCATAAAATTGATGATTCCTATCCCCGGTAACTCCCCCGCCAAGTCCCGACCCAAATTAATCACCCCACCTACGTCAATTGCACCTCGTAAGTATAATTGACTTTAAAGTCAAAAGTTTTGACTTTATACTAATGAAGTGCAATTGACGTAGATGGGGTAATTAGTTTGGGTCGAGACTTGGCAGAGGGGGCTACCGGGGGGTTAGGGGGTAGGAATCATCAATTTTTACCATTAATTTTTGATCAAAGTCTAATTTATTTCATAACAGTCATTGTTCGGTCAGATCTAGATGATGGGACTCATCCTTTTTTGAGTGAGAAAATGTCTACCTAGTCAACACAATAATTTGGACGTGTCTAGGTTAACCGCATACAAGTGTTTGGTTTTATGACTATGATAACTTACTCGTCTTATGTAAAGACCAAAGAAGCCTCAAAGTAATTGTGCAATGATAAGTCAACTAGTGCAGCTGTTGGATAAAATAGTTATGGAAATTGATGTCTATTGTCTACGCCTTTTTTGTTTTTATACACTTCATTTGGTTATTATTTTTCAAATGTTGTTCTATCTTTTTATAACTTATTTACTAAAGAAAATATGGACAAAAAACTAGAAAAGTTCAAACCAATCTTAGCTTTGAAAAACTCTTTAAAACAAATGTTGCACGAGAATACTCTTAAAAGACAATTCATTTTACAAAAAGTCCTCTTCTTATGTCTATGCTGATTTGGATGCTTCATACTGCATTGTATGAATCATTTCAGAGTAAAACAAAATATCATACAACAATCGAATAGATCAACGTCATATTATGATAGAAATAATCAACGTCAAAAGATTGAGCCTCTCAATAATAAAAGTTAAACGAAAATTTTAGGATGAAACAATTAATATTTAGTCACAAGTCGGATTCTAATTACTTGATTGAGCTGAATTCGTTTTAAGCTTGAATTCATTGAATGAAATTTTGATAGTATTTTAACGTCTCATATAGGTGGTTAGATCTTTTGTCTCTTTGCATGTCTCAACTCTCAATTCCAACCCCAAATTTGACACATAATAAAGTATATCCCATAGACCCATACTTGGCATAACCCCACCTTTGAGGGGTGGTGGGAAAGGGAGCATATGTAAATATGTGGTGGTGAGCATAGTTTTAAAAACCGAACCGGATCGGCCGGTTCGGAGCGGGAACCGGTGAACCGGACACCAAACCGGTCCGGTCCGGGCATTCAGACCGCGTTCTGTTGTGAACCGGTGGAAACCGGTTAATACCGGAGAAAACCGGCCGGTTTTACCGCCGGATTCGAATACAGGATTGCATTGGTGGAAGGAGCATCTTCAAACTATCTCTACTACAATGCTTTGTAGGAACTTTCTACTATTCGTTTTTTATATGCTTTATTAAATTTGTTTTTATCAAATACTTTTTAAGTATATAAAGTTTTTTTTTTTACTAAAATTCAAAACTCATTGAGGTAATTGATATGGAGTGCATATCACACAAATATTTTATATATATTTTTAAATACTAGATAAAATGTTTAAAAAATTCAATTCACTTTTTATTTCTAAGATTTTTTAAATAAGTAAATTTTATTTTTTATTTAATGAAACAACTCATGTAAATTAAGTTAAATTATAAATGTAGTCAAACATCAATTCTTTATTTATAAATAGAGGAAATATTATTTTATTACTCATATATTAGTTTTTTAAATTCAATGCCACAATGTGTGTGTGGGTATGTGTGTGTGTATGTATGTATGTGTGTGTGTGTATATATCTATATACTCCGTATTTATTAAAAATGTTTGAACCACTGGTTCAACCACTCGAACTACTGGTTCAACCAGAGTAAACCAGTGAATCAGTACCTTGAATAGTTCGATCACCGATTCGGTTCTGAAAAGTGAGTTTGTGCTAATTAGGTAGGAAACAATTTGTGTTATCACTGCTTATGTGGCACAATTTGACCTAGAGCTTCATCCGGTCATCGAAGTGGAATTTGGATGAGATTGTCATAGTCATAGGGTGTTTGGTTAAAAGAAAACACGATACGAGAAAATACATATTTTAAAAGTTCTCCTGTTTAGATAGAGAGAAAGAGGTAAGAAAAAATAAATAAATTCCACAATTAATTCTTTATAAAATAATACCCTCGTGGTCTTTCTTTCATGGATACATTTTAACAAATAGTTCTTTTTGACATTTTTGTTAATTTTAGTGCTAAAAGTATAATTATACATAAACTTTATGCTCAGTGAGGTATACTGAAGTCGGTTAGATGAACAACAAAACAATAATAAATATGAATGTGGACTAAGATTCCGACGAAAGAACACATCTGTAAATTATAGTTATAGTAGAAAGCAATTACGATTCACAAACAACGCATGTAGAGCGACACTTGAAATTGTGTATGACAAGATATATGATCATTGTGAAAATGTTGTTTTAGTCATCAAATTAATGCCTACACGACAGAAAATAAAAAAAATTATTTGTGGAAAGATACAAATAAAAGAAGCTAAGAGAGTATTATTTAATTAAAAAAGAATTAAAAATGAAAAACCTCTTATTATAAAGAACTAATTATAGAATTTACTCAAAAAAAACTTTTTTTCTCCCACAATTCGAAAGAAAATGGGACGGACCAATCACACTATAAGAGACATCATAAATTCTTTTTTTTCTTTTACAATTTCTTTATTTTTTTTCATTTTAACTTCATATTCTACTCATTCAAATAATAATTAATTTCTTTCTATTTTCTTCATATATTTTTTTTCCTCATTTTTCATTCTTTACATTATGTCATTATCCAATTCTCACCACATCCCATCAAAACAATGCATTTTACACAAAATCAATCGCCAATATGAAAAGGATCGGAGAAAAACCAAATTAGATAAGAATAAAGAATCCGCTCTTGGAACAGCACATAGGAAACCCCTAAGCATGGCCCCTGGTTTTCCCTCCTCCCTCTCTACAAATCAGCTTTTCTTTCCCTGTTCAAACTCTTATCTCGCTCATTTCCTGGCCATTTTTGTCCCCTCCCACCCATTTATACCCCCCACTTCTCACAGTATACGTTCTTCTTCATCCCATACCCACCCCCATACCCTACCCCCACCCCCACCACCATCATCATCAAATCAACTCTTTCTCAGACGCAAAGCTGTACACGTGTTCCCTGTAAAAAGCCCCAGCTCCACAAAGAATTGACATTTAAAGGGATGGGTTCCGTCTCTTGATGCCCAGATCACATCTTCAGTGTTTCTGTGACCCGAACTGAATCGTCTCCGATTAAAGATTCGATCTTTGCTGCTTTTTTGTTTTGTTTTCTTGAACCGCCGCCCGGGAATGGGGATTGATAAAACCGCGAGTGATAGGAAAGGAAGGAGCAGTGAGGCCAAGAAACAGCGCAATCAGCAGAGGAGACTTCACCCTGTTCAGAATCTTTACGACACTTGCAAGGAGGTGTTCGCCGATTGCCGGCCGGACGTCGTGCCGTCGCCGGAGAACGTCGAACGGGTCAAGGCTATTTTGGGTATACAATAATTCTTTCACCTTTTGTTTTGATTTGTTTGGCTGGGTATGTTCAAAATGGTTGCTTTAAGCTATGTTGTGTATAGAATGAATGATGATAAAGGTTACCATATCCCTTAGGGGTTGTTTGGTTGTCAAGTCTTTAAGCCTCATTGGATTATTTAGTTCAGGTTTGATTTTGAAGACTGAGGAGATTGATAATGACATTGTACTAGTTGCAGCAAATGATCAAGTCTTTGTCTTTTTAGAATGTTCATTAGAAATGATTTGACAGAGAAGTTATATCATGATAAGGAATTAAGCTTCATATAAATTATTGATATTCCCTTTCTTGAATTTTGTTGCTTGTTGAAATTGATTTATTTTCACTGTATTATCAATTTTTTTTTGTATCAGTATCCAAACGGTCCTTCAAGATTATTCTTTGTCCATGCATTCATTGAATTCCAAGGCTCTGTTTGTCATTAGTTTCAGTGTTCAGCTTCAATGGTTGACATTAAAAATCTGCAATGTTCCAAACAAAGCCTTAATCTTAATAGTTGGTTTATTACATTTTTTTGGTTGCAGATAAAATGTCAGGGACGGACGTTGGCCTCTGGCCGTCCCAGACATACTTCAAGTCAACCGGAAACGATAAGCCTCCAAGAATCACATATATGGGCATCCATGAATGCGACAAGTTCTCGGTATGGATTATTTCATCCCAAGCTTTTGTTCTAGGGTCATGCTACATTAAAATATCACCGATGACATCAAAGTTGACATCACTAGTGTCCGTGATTGTCTCTGATGGTGTCAACTTTAGTGAATATTTATACCTGTTTGAATAGTATCAAAGTGTATGAAGATGATTATAAATGACATTATTATAATTATTATTATAATTGATAGTTATGTAAATATATGATGGATGATAATGGCAGATAGGGATATTCTGCTTGCCACCATCAGGGGTTATGCCTCTCCATAATCATCCAGGAATGACAGTTTTCAGCAAGATTCTTTTTGGGAAAATGCATATTCAGTCTTATGATTGGGTGGATGGGGACCCCAATGTTGATAAATGTTGTAAGTTCTTAGTTTTCTTAAAAGAATTTATTTAAGGAAATAATTGTTTGAAATTTCTTTAGATGAACTTATTTAGAAAAAGAGAGATATTGCATGCCACATACGGAGTATTATTTTCCTTAAAAGTGAAAAAACGTGAAATGTAGATTCAATTTTGGAACCGAACGAAAAAAGAAAGTGTAAACTTGAGTTTGAAATGGAGTATTTGTCTATTTGAAATGCTTTTTTCTCTTCTTAGACTAGTCTCTCAATTAAGAGTCATTGTCATGATTCAAGGATGTTGTTTGTATCTAGATTTGAGGTTGCCAAACATGTAATGTTTGCTAAGGGTGTGTTTGGTTGGAACGGATTGGGGCGAGGGATGGGAAATGCTCCCTTCCCTACATTTGGTTATTGAAAAATGGGAGGGGAAACAACCAAAATTTTCCATTCTCTCTGAGTCCAATTCCCTGTGATTATAACTTAATTTACCTACCTCCAGACAGCTATCTAGTCAGTCTTTAAAAAGATCCCAATGATGGGATTGTTTTTTAACACTGGACTGGCGAGCTGGCTGGGGGCTAGCTAATGTGGGCATGCATGCATGCATGCAGGCAATCCTTCTGGGGTTCGTTTGGCGAAGATGAAGGTGAATTCGGACTTCAGTGCGCCTTGCAAGAGTAGCATCCTCTACCCTAAAGATTGTAACATGCATTGCTTTCGGGCGTTGACCGCATGTGCGGTTCTTGACGTGCTTGTCCCGCCTTACAATGACCTCGAAGGTCGCCATTGTCAATACTATTCGGACTTCCCCTTTTCCAACGTCTCAGGTACACTCCCACTTCCTCGTTTCCCTTCGGAATTCCTCGAACCAAACATTACGTTAAGGAAAAGTTTGCTAAGCTGCTCCACAACTTGCACATTGTAGTCGAAGGTGAAGGTGAAGAAGGTGTCGCCCAATCCGCTCCAGAAGTGCCCGAAGAAGGGCCAGAAAAAAGCTATGTATGGCTCAAAGAACGGGCGATGCCCGAAGATTTGGCGTTCGTTGGGGCTTTGTACAAAGGACCAAAACTAGCCAAATAAGCCACCCCCAAAACCTTTGTCTCATTGTATATTTTGCTTGACCAGAGCACGTCAAAACATTTGGTTTTTTTCTTTCCCTTTTTTTTTGGGAGGGGGGGGGGCTTTAGTTTTAAAGGTAAGGAAATATACATAGGGAAAGAATGCAAGCAAACTTTTCTTTCTGCTTTTTATTGGTCTCTCTTGTGGTTTGAAAAAACAGCTCTATATATATTTTACCAGTAAAATTTAAAAGGAAAAAATAATGGTCTGGAAGAACAACATTAGTAGTAGTTTTGTTGTTGGTTAAAGTTGTGGATAATTTTTTAATGTTGTGGTTTCACATTGACTTCATTATATTTGAGAGCAATGACAACACCATTTTGGTATTATTTTTTAATTTTTAGTATTGGTGTTTTAATTTTGATGCTTTTTAATTTTTACACGATGCAAATTACTCGGAATTTTTTTTTTGAACAAAGCTCATAATATTAACCACAACATTCAGTTCACATATACAACCATATTGAAAACCAGAAACATTTAGACTAGTAGCAAAATAGCTAAACAATCTGCACTACTCTTAATTTATGGTTAATATATGTCTTCAATTGGCTTTTAATCCAGTAGCAGGAATCCAAAATAGTCACCTCCTCCTGTTTCATAATTTTCTTGTTTCTTGCCTTCCACACTGCATAACATATTGCAGCAAAAGCTGCAATGGCAATACCTCTATTCTTCCTACCTTTGATCTGCTGAATTGCCCCCAACATCTCTTTGTCATTATTAGCTATCCATCTGGTCCCAACCCAATTGCATATTTCATTTTGGATCCCTCTAGTATAAGGGCAAGAGTAAAACAGATGCTCTTTGTCTTCTATATGTACA